CACCTCCCAGGGGTGACCCACCTCCCAGGGGTGACCCCACCTTCCAGGGGGTGACCCCACCTCTCAGGGGTGACCCCACCTCCCAGGGGGTGACCCCACCTCCCAGGGGAGACCCCACCTCCCAGGGGTGTCCCCACCTCCTATAGGGGGTGTCGTCCCACCTCTCAGGGGTGACCCCACCTCCCAGGTGTGACCCCACCTCCCAGGGGGTGACCTTCTCCCTGCCTCCCAGGGTGTGACCCCCCTCCTTGCCTCCCAGGGGGTGACCCCCCTCCCTGCCTCCCAGGGGGTGACCCTCTCCCTGCCTCCCAGGGTGTGACCCTCTCCCTGCCTCCCAGGGGGTGACCCCCTCCCTGCCTCCCAGGGTGTGACCCCCCTCCCTGCCTCCCAGGGTGTGACCCCCTCCCTGCCTCCCAGGGTGTGACCCACTCCCTGCCTCCCAGGGTGTGACCCCCTCCCTGCCTCCCAGGGTGTGACCCCTTCCCTGCCATCCAGGGTGTGACCCCCTCCCTGCCTCCCAGGGTGTGACCCCCTCCCTGCCTCCCAGGGGGTGACCACCCTCCCTGCCTCCCAGGGTGTGACCCCCCTCCCTGCCTCCCAGGGTGTGACCCCCCTCCCTGCCTCCCAGGGTGTGACCCCCCTCCCTGCCTAACAGAGTGTGACCCCCTCCCTGCCTCCCAGGGTGTGACCCTCTCCCTGCCTCCCAGGGTGTGACCCCCTCCCTGCCTCCCAGGGTGTGACCCCCTCCTTGCCTCCCAGGGGGTGACCCCCCTCCCTGCCTCCCAGGGGGTGACCCCCTCCCTGCCTCCCAGGGTGTGACCCCCTCCCTGCCTCCCAGGGGGTGACCCCCCTCCCTGCCTCACAGGGTGTGACCCCCTCCCTGCCTCCCAGGGGGGGTGACCTCCCTGCCTCCCAGGGTGTGACCCCCCTCCCTGCCTCCCAGGGGGTGACCCCCCTCCCTGCCTCCCAGGGGGTGACCCCCCTCCCTGCCTCCCAGGGGGTGACCCCATCCCTGCCTCCCAGGGTGACCCCCCTCCCTGCCTCCCAGGGGGTGACCCACTCCCTGCCTCCCAGGGTGTGACCCTCTCCCTGCCTCCCAGGGGGTGACCCCCTCCCTGCCTCCCAGGGGATGACACTCTCCCTGCCTCCCAGGGGGTGACCCCACCTCCCTGCCTCCCAGGGGGTGACCCCACCTCCCTGCCTCCCAGGGGGTGACCCCACCTCCCCGCCTCCCAGGGGGGGGTGACTCTCTCCCTGCCTCCCAGGGGGTGACCCTCTCCCTGCCTCCCAGGGGGTGACCCCACCTCCCTGCCTCCCAGGGTGTGACCCTCTCCCTGCCTCCCAGGGGGTGACCCACCTCCCTGCCTCCCAGGGGGTGACCCTCTCCCTGCCTCCCAGGGGGTGACCCCCTCCCTGCCTCCCAGGGGGTGACCCCCCCTCCCTGCCTCCCAGGGGGTGACCCTCTCCCTGCCTCCCAGGGTATGACCCTCTCCCGGCCTCCCAGAGGGTGACCCCCCTCCCTGCCTCCCAGGGTGTGACCCTCTCCCTGCCTCCCAGGGGGTGACCCCCTCCCGGCCTCCTAAGGGGTGACCCCACCTCCCTGCCTCCCAGGGGGTGACCCCCTCCCTGCCTCCCAGGGGGTGACCCCACCTCCAAGGGGTGACCCCACCTCCCAGGGGTGATTCCGCCTCCCAGAGGTGACCCCACCTCCCAGGGGTGACCCCACCTCTCAGGGGTGACCCCACCTCCCAGGGGTGACCCCCACCTCCCAGGGGTGACCTCACCTCCCAGGGGGTGACCCCACCTCTCAGGGGTGACCCCACCTCCCAGGTGTGACCCCACCTCCCAGGGGTGACCCCACCTCACAGGGGTGACCCACCTTCCAGGGGGGTGACCCCACCCCCCAGGGGGTGACCCCACCTCCCAGGGGTGACCCCCACCTCCCAGGGGTGACCCCACCTCTCAGGGGTGACCCCACCTCCCAGGGGTGACCCCCACCTTCCAGGGGGTGACCCCACCTTTCAGGGGTGACCCCACCTCCCAGGTGTGACCCCACCTCCCAGGGGTGACCCCACCTCCCAGGGGTGACCCCACCTCCCAGGGGGTGACCCCACCTCTCAGGGGTGACCCCACCTCCCAGGGGGTGACCCCACCTCCCAGGGGTGACCCCACCTCCCAGGGGTGACCCGACCTCCCAGGTGTGACCCCACCTCCCAGGGGTGACCCCACCTCCCAGGGGTGACCCCACCTTCCAGGGGGTGACCCCACCTCTCAGGGGTGACCCCACCTCCCAGGGGGTGACCCCACCTCCCAGGGGAGACCCCACCTCCCAGGGGTGTCCCCACCTCCTATAGGGGGTGACGTCCCACCTCTCAGGGGTGACCCCACCTCCCAGGTGTGACCCCACCTCCCAGGGGGTGACCTTCTCCCTGCCTCCCAGGGTGTGACCCCCCTCCTTGCCTCCCAGGGGGTGACCCCCCTCCCTGCCTCCCAGGGGGTGACCCTCTCCCTGCCTCCCAGGGTGTGACCCTCTCCCTGCCTCCCAGGGGGTGACCCCCCTCCCTGCCTCCCAGGGTGTGACCCCCCTCCCTGCCTCCCAGGGTGTGACCCCCTCCCTGCCTCCCAGGGTGTGACCCACTCCCTGCCTCCCAGGGTGTGACCCCCTCCCTGCCTCCCAGGGTGTGACCCCCTCCCTGCCATCCAGGGTGTGACCCCCTCCCTGCCTCCCAGGGTGTGACCCCCTCCCTGCCTCCCAGGGGGTGACCACCCTCCCTGCCTCCCAGGGTGTGACCCCCCTCCCTGCCTCCCAGGGGGTGACCCCCCTCCCTGCCTCAGAGGGGGTGACCCCCCTCCCTGCCTCCCAGGGGGTGACCCTCTCCCTGCCTCCCAGGGGGTGACCCCCCTCCCTGCCTCCCAGGGGGTGACCCTCTCCCTGCCTCCCAGGGTGTGACCCCCCCTCCCTGCCTCCCAGGGTGTGACCCCCCTCCCTGCCTCCCAGGGGGTGACCCTCTCCCTGCCTCCCAGAGGGTGACCCCCGTCCCTGCCTCCCAGGGGGTGACCTCCCTGCCTCCCAGGGTGTGACCCCCCCTCCCTGCCTCCCAGGGTGTGACCCCCCTCCCTGCCTCCCAGGGTGTGACCCCCCTCTCTGCCTCCCAGGGGTGACCCCCCCTCCCTGCCTCCCAGGGGGTGACCCCCCTCCCTGCCTCCCAGGAGGTGACCCCCTCCCTGCCTCCCAGGGGGTGACCCCCCTCCCTGCCTCCCAGGGGGTGACCCTCTCCCTGCCTCTTAGGGTGTGACCCTCTCCCTGCCTCCCAGGGGGTGACCCCCCTCCCTGCCTCCCAGGGGGTGACCCTCTCCCTGCCTCCCAGGGGGTGACCCCACCTCCCTGCCTCCCAGGGGGTGACCCCACCTCTCTGCCTCCCAGGGGGTGACCCCACCTCCCTGCCTCCCAGGGGGTGACCCCACCTCCCCGCCTCCCAGGGGGGGCTGACCCTCTCCCTGCCTCCCAGGGGGTGACCCTCTCCCTGCCTCCCAGGGGGTGACCCCACCTCCCTGCCTCCCAGGGGGTGACCCCCTCCCGGCCTCCTAGGGGGTGACCCCACCTCCCTGCCTCCCAGGGGGTGACCCCCTCCCTGCCTCCCAGGGGGGTGACCCCACCTCCCAGGGGTGACCCCACCTCCCAGGGGTGACTCCACCTCCCAGGGGTGACCCCACCTCTCAGGGGTGACCCCACCTCCCAGGGGTGACCCCCACCTCCCAGGGGTGACCCCACCTCCCAGGGGGTGACCCCACCTCTCAGGGGTGACCCCACCTCCCAGGTGTGACCCCACCTCCCAGGGGTGACCCCACCTCCCAGGGGTGACCCCAACTCCCAGGGGGGTGACCCCACCTCCCAGGGGGTGACCCCACCTTTCAGGGGTGACCCCACCTCCCAGGGGTGACCCCACCTCTCAGGGGTGACCCCACCTCCCAGGGGTGACCCCCACCTCCCAGGGGTGACCCCCACCTCCCAGGGGTGATCCCACCTCCCAGGGGGTGACCTCACCTTTCAGTGGTGACCCCACTTCCCAGGTGTGACCCCACCTCCCAGGGGTGACCCCACCTCCCAGGGGGTGACCCCACCTCCCAGGGGGTGACGTACCCCACCTCCCAGGGGTGACCCCACCTCCCAGGGGTGACCCCACCTCTCAGGGGTGACCCCACCTCCCAGGGGTGACCCCCACCTCCCAGGGGGTGACCCCACCTCCCAGGGGGTGACCCCACCTCTCAGGGGTGACCCCACCTCCCAGGGGTGACCTCACCTCTCAGGGGTGACCCCACCTCCCAGGGGTGACCCCACCTCCCAGGAGATGACCCCACCTCCCAGGTGTGACCCCACCTCCCAGGGGTGACCTCACCTTTCAGTGGTGACCCCACTTCCCAGGTGTGACCCCACCTCCCAGGGGTGACCCCACCTCCCAGGGGGTGACCCCACCTCCCAGGGGGTGACGTACCCCACCTCCCAGGGGTGACCCCACCTCCCAGGGGTGATCCCACCTCCCAGGGGTGACCCCACCTCCCAGGGGTGACCCCACCTCCCAGGGGGTGACCCCACCTCCCAGGGGTGACCCCACCTCCCAGGGGGTGAGAGTTGGGGGAGTATCTTGGGTCATCACAGAAGACCCCAGACCAGGGGGGGAGGGGGTGGTGTGGTCTGCTATTGGGGCGTGTAAAACCATGGTTATCTTGAGATGATTTCGGGGATTTAGTGTCCCCTCGGCCCGGTCCTCGACCAGGACTCCACCCTCAGGAAGCAGGCCGTGACAGCTGACTAACACCCTTGTACCTATTTTACTGCTAGGTAGCAGGGGCATAGGGTGAAAGAAACTCTGCCCATTGTTTCTCGCCGGGGCCTGGGATCGAACCCAGGACCACAGGATCACAAGTCCAGCATGCTGTCCGCTCGGCCGACCGGCTCCAAGGCATGGTAAGTGAAGTAATGGTAAGTGAGTCGACGAGTCATGCCTGTCATGACAGGCATGACCGGCATGACTGGCATGACAGGCATGACTGGCATGACAGGCATGACCGGCATGACTGGCATGACTGGCATGACAGGCATGACTGGCATGACAGGCATGACTGGCATGATTGGCATGACAGGCATGACTGGCATGACAGACATGACTGGCATGACTGGCATGACAGGCATGACTGGCATGACTGGCATGACAGGCATGACTGGCATGACTGGCATGACAGGCATGACAGGCATGACTGGCATGACAGGCATGACTGGCATGACAGGCATGACCGGCATGACTGGCATGACTGGCATGACAGGCATGACTGGCATGACTGGCATGACAGGCATGACTGGCATGACTGGCATGACAGGCATGACAGGCATGACTGGCATGACAGGCATGACAGACATGACAGGCATGACTGGCATGACAGGCATGACAGGCATGACTGGCATGACAGGCATGACTGGCATGACTGGCATGACTGGCATGACTGGCATGACAGGCATGACTGGCATGCCTGTCATGAGATAGATAGATAAATCAAGTGTGAGCCGTGCTCCTCAGACACAAGAGTGAGCCGTGCTCCTCAGACACAAGTGTGAGCCGTGCTCCTCATACTCAAGAGTGACCCGTGCTCCTCAGACACAAGTGTGAGCCGTGCTCCTCAGACACAAGAGTGAGCCGTGCTCCTCAGACACAAGTGTGAGCCGTGCTCCTCAGACACAAGTGTGAGCCGTGCTCCTCAGACACAAGTGTGAGCCGTGCTCCTCAGACACAAGTGTGAGCCGTGCTCCTCAGACACAAGAGTGAGCCGTGCTCCTCAGACACAAGAGTGAGCCGTGCTCCTCAGACACAAGAGTGAGCCGTGCTCCTCACACTCAAGAGTGACCCGTGCTCCTCAGACACAAGTGTGAGCCGTGCTCCTCACACTCAAGAGTGAGCCGTGCTCCTCACACTCAAGAGTGACCCGTGCTCCTAAGACACAAGTGTGAGCCGTGCTCCTCAGACACAAGAGTGAGCCGTGCTCCTCAGACACAAGAGTGAGCCGTGCTCCTCAGACACAAGTGTGAGCCGTGCTCCTCAGACACAAGTGTGACCCGTGCTCCTCAGACACAAGTGTGAGCCGTGCTCCTCACACTCAAGAGTGAGCCGTGCTCCTCAGACACAAGTGTGAGCCGTGCTCCTCAGACACAAGAGTGAGCCGTGCTCCTCAGACACAAGAGTGAGCCGTGCTCCTCACACTCAAGAGTGACCCGTGCTCCTCAGACACAAGTGTGAGCCATGCTCCTCACACTCAAGAGTGACCCGTGCTCCTCAGACACAAGAGTGAGCCGTGCTCCTCACACTCAAGAGTGAGCCGTGCTCCTCAGACACAAGTGTGAGCCGTGCTCCTCAGACACAAGTGTGAGCCATGCTCCTCACACTCAAGAGTGAGCCGTGCTCCTCACACTCAAGAGTGACCCGTGCTCCTAAGACACAAGTGTGAGCCGTGCTCCTCAGACACAAGAGTGAGCCGTGCTCCTCAGACACAAGTGTGAGCCGTGCTCCTCAGACACAAGTGTGAGCCGTGCTCGTCAGACACAAGAGTGAGCCGTGCTCTTCAGACTCAAGAGTGAGCCGTGCTCCTCAGACACAAGTGTGAGCCGTGCTCCTCACACTCAAGAGTGAGCCGTGCTCCTCAGACACAAGAGTGAGCCGTGCTCCTCAGACACAGGAGTGAGCCGTGCTCCTCAGACACAAGTGTGAGCCGTGCTCCTCAGACACAAGAGTGAGCCGTGCTCCTCAGACACAAGTGTGAGCCGTGCTCCTCAGACACAAGTGTGAGCTGTGCTCCTCACACTCAAGAGTGACCCATGCTCCTCAGACACAAGTGTGAGCCGTGCTCCTCAGACACAAGAGTGAGCCGTGCTCCTCAGACACAAGAGTGAGCCGTGCTCCTCAGACACAAGTGTGAGCCGTGCTCCTCAGACACAAGTGTGAGCCGTGCTCCTCAGACACAAGTGTGAGCCGTGCTCCTCACACTCAAGAGTGACCCATGCTCCTCAGACACAAGTGTGAGCCGTGCTCCTCAGACACAAGAGTGAGCCGTGCTCCTCAGACACAAGTGTGAGCCGTGCTCCTCAGACACAAGAGTGAGCCGTGCTCCTCACTCTCAAGAGTGACCCGTGCTCCTCAGACACAAGTGTGAGCCGTGCTCCTCAGACACAAGTGTGAGCCGTGCTCCTCAGACACAAGTGTGAGCCGTGCTCCTCAGACACAAGAGTGAGCCGTGCTCCTCAGACACAAGTGTGAGCCGTGCTCCTCAGACACAAGAGTGAGCCGTGCTCCTCACACTCAAGAGTGAGCCGTGCTCCTCAGACACAAGAGTGAGCCGTGCTCCTCAGACACAAGTGTGAGACGTGCTCCTCACACTCAAGAGTGAGCCGTGCTCCTCAGACACAAGAGTGAGCCGTGCTCCTCAGACACAAGTGTGAGCCGTGCTCCTCAGACACAAGTGTGAGCCGTGCTCCTCAGACACAAGTGTGAGCCGTGCTCCTCAGACACAAGAGTGAGCCGTGCTCCTCAGACACAAGTGTGACCCATGCTCCTCAGACACAAGTGTGAGCCGTGCTCCTCAGACACAAGTGTGAGCCGTGCTCCTCAGACACAAGTGTGAGCCGTGCTCCTCAGACACAAGAGTGAGCCGTGCTCCTCAGACACAAGAGTGAGCCGTGCTCCTCAGACACAAGTGTGAGACGTGCTCCTCACACTCAAGAGTGACCCATGCTCCTCAGACACAAGTGTGAGCCGTGCTCCTCAGACACAAGTGTGAGCCGTGCTCCTCAGACACAAGTGTGAGCCGTGCTCCTCAGACACAAGAGTGAGCCGTGCTCCTCAGACACAAGTGTGAGCCGTGCTCCTCAGACACAAGTGTGACTTGTGCTCCTCAGACACAAGTGTGAGCCGTGCTCCTCACACTCAAGAGTGAGCCGTGCTCCTCAGACACAAGAGTGACCCGTGCTCCTCAGACACAAGAGTGAGCCGTGCTCCTCACACTCAAGAGTGAGCCGTGCTCCTCAGACACAAGAGTGAGCCGTGCTCCTCAGACACAGGAGTGAGCCGTGCTCCTCAGACACAAGTGTGAGCCGTGCTCCTCACACTCAAGAGTGAGCCGTGCTCCTCAGACACAAGAGTGAGCCGTGCTCCTCAGACACAAGTGTGAGACGTGCTCCTCACACTCAAGAGTGAGCCGTGCTCCTCAGACACAAGAGTGACCCGTGCTCCTCAGACACAAGAGTGACCCGTGCTCCTCAGACACAAGAGTGAGCCGTGCTCCTCAGACACAAGAGTGACCCGTGCTCCTCAGACACAAGAGTGACCCGTGCTCCTCAGACACAAGTGTGAGCCGTGCTCCTCAGACACAAGAGTGAGCCGTGCTCCTCAGACACAAGTGTGAGCCGTGCTCCTCAGACACAAGTGTGAGCCGTGCTCCTCAGACACAAGTGTGAGCCGTGCTCCTCACACTCAAGAGTGACCCATGCTCCTCAGACACAAGTGTGAGCCGTGCTCCTCAGACACAAGTGTGAGCCGTGCTCCTCAGACACAAGTGTGAGCCGTGCTCCTCACACTCAAGAGTGACCCATGCTCCTCAGACACAAGTGTGAGCCGTGCTCCTCAGACACAAGAGTGAGCCGTGCTCCTCAGACACAAGTGTGAGCCGTGCTCCTCAGACACAAGAGTGAGCCGTGCTCCTCACTCTCACGAGTGACCCGTGCTCCTCAGACACAAGTGTGAGCCGTGCTCCTCAGACACAAGTGTGAGCCGTGCTCCTCAGACACAAGTGTGAGCCGTGCTCCTCAGACACAAGAGTGAGCCGTGCTCCTCAGACACAAGTGTGAGCCGTGCTCCTCAGACACAAGAGTGAGCCGTGCTCCTCACTCTCACGAGTGACCCGTGCTCCTCAGACACAAGAGTGACCCGTGCTCCTCAGACACAAGTGTGAGCCGTGCTCCTCAGACACAAGTGTGAGCCGTGCTCCTCAGACACAAGAGTGAGCCGTGCTCCTCAGACACAAGTGTGAGCCGTGCTCCTCAGACACAAGAGTGAGCCGTGCTCCTCACTCTCACGAGTGACCCGTGCTCCTCAGACACAAGAGTGACCCGTGCTCCTCAGACACAAGTGTGAGCCGTGCTCCTCAGACACAAGTGTGAGCCGTGCTCCTCAGACACAAGAGTGAGCCGTGCTCCTCAGACACAAGAGTGAGCCGTGCTCCTCAGACACAAGTGTGAGCCGTGCTCCTCAGACACAAGAGTGAGCCGTGCTCCTCACACTCAAGAGTGAGCCGTGCTCCTCAGACACAAGAGTGAGCCGTGCTCCTCAGACACAAGTGTGAGCCGTGCTCCTCAGACACAAGAGTGAGCCGTGCTCCTCACTCTCAAGAGTGACCCGTGCTCCTCAGACACAAGTGTGAGCCGTGCTCCTCAGACACAAGTGTGAGCCGTGCTCCTCACACTCAAGAGTGAGCCGTGCTCCTCAGACACAAGAGTGAGCCGTGCTCCTCAGACACAAGTGTGAGACGTGCTCCTCAGACACAAGTGTGAGCCGTGCTCCTCAGACACAAGTGTGAGCCGTGCTCCTCAGACACAAGTGTGAGACGTGCTCCTCACACTCAAGAGTGAGCCGTGCTCCTCAGACACAAGAGTGAGCCGTGCTCCTCAGACACAAGTGTGAGCCGTGCTCCTCAGACACAAGTGTGAGCCGTGCTCCTCAGACACAAGTGTGAGCCGTGCTCCTCACACTCAAGAGTGACCCATGCTCCTCAGACACAAGTGTGAGCCGTGCTCCTCAGACACAAGTGTGAGCCGTGCTCCTCAGACACAAGTGTGAGCCGTGCTCCTCAGACACAAGAGTGAGCCGTGCTCCTCAGACACAAGTGTGAGCCGTGCTCCTCAGACACAAGTGTGACCCGTGCTCCTCAGACACAAGTGTGAGCCGTGCTCCTCACACTCAAGAGTGAGCCGTGCTCCTCAGACACAAGAGTGACCCGTGCTCCTCAGACACAAGAGTGAGCCGTGCTCCTCAGACACAAGAGTGAGCCGTGCTCCTCACACTCAAGAGTGACCCGTGCTCCTCAGACACAAGTGTGAGCCGTGCTCCTCACACTCAAGTGTGAGCCGTGCTCCTCAGACACAAGTGTGAGCCGTGCTCCTCAGACACAAGTGTGAGCCGTTCTCCTCAGACACAAGTGTGAGCCGTGCTCCTCAGACACAAGTGTGAGCCGTGCTCCTCAGACAGAAGTGTGAGCCGTGCTCCTCAGACACAAGTGTGAGCCGTGCTCCTCAGACACAAGAGTGAGCCGTGCTCCTCAGACACAAGTGTGAGCCGTGCTGCTCACACTCAAGAGTGAGCCATGCTGCTCACACTCAAGAGTGAGCCGTGCTCCTCAGACACAAGAGTGACCCGTGCTCCTCAGACACAAGAGTGAGCCGTGCTCCTCAGACACAAGAGTGAGCCGTGCTCCTCAGACACAAGAGTGAGCCGTGCTCCTCACA